TTTCGTGTCTGAAATACAAATGAGGCCTACTCTCTAACCAAATGGTGGCCCATTTAGCTTTATTCTAAATGCAAGGAGAAATAGAAAATCTGGATTTGTTTGCATTTACAGAGTTATACATTTCAATTATTTCAGTTTTGTCAGTTATACAAATCTTTGAAGTACATGTTAGGTAAAGAAAATCAATATGCTGTGCTTTATAAATGCAAAAAAAAACTGGAAACTATCTTATATATTCGGATTAAGGACGTTCTATACACTGCATACTGATGGCTTTAAACAAGACTGTTGATATTTCATGGAGCCACTTAACCTTCGTTGTCATGTATGGTCACCGATTTTGATGTAACTTCACCTATTCTCACACTACTGGCTTTTAAAACCCCTGTCCGTATGAAAATCCTCTGTCTTTCTCTGCATTATACAACATTTTCACAGTAAGCTACGATATATCTACAGTAAAGAGAAGAAGTTTACACACTCCTAGAACACTGTCCTGTTACCTAAGATGTTGAATTATCAATTAAGTACATTTAGTTATTTACCTTTAAAAAAAAATTAACAAACTACAAACACATAGTTATACATTTTTTTTTATTTGTTAAGAGATTTTTTTAGTTCTGTCATAACTTTGAAATAACTGAAAAAATTAAATCTTTGCTTCAAAAATATTTATCTATCTATTTTCTAAATTAATTTTTTAATTATTCTTTGAATTGATTAATAAGTTTAATTTTTTACTTTTTTTATTTTGTGAACACCTGTTTAATTCATAAAATACTTGTAATAATTTTGTTTAAAAAAAAAAACTCCAAAAAACAGCAGGGATAATACTGCATCGACAGGGTATAACATTTATTGCCTGAGTTATGATTGAAATTGAAATTTTGAAATTATGCAATAAATGTGGCATAATTTAAGTTATTGTGAAACATGAGAATTTTGTACGCGTTTCATATAGTGCGTGTAAATATATTTTTAAGATTAAAGTTTATGCAGTTTCATATTATGTGTTTATGTTTCTTCACTGAATAAAATACAGGAGTCCACAGCGGGAGTCAATTACAATCATTTCAGTGTGATGACTATTAAATATCGTAATAGTCTGAAATATCACTAAATAAAATACAGAGTCCACAGCGGGAGTCAATTACAATCATTTCAGTGTGATGACTATTAAATATCGTAATAGTCTGAAATATCACTAAATAAAATACAGAGTCCACAGCGGGAGTCAATTACAATCATTTCAGTGTGATGACTATTTAATATCGTAATAGTCTGAAATATCAATCATTTCTGAAATGGAAGCAGAAATAGGAAATGCACAATTCAACATTTTAATGCCAATATGTTAAATATCCGCAGTTGTATGAAACTGGGTTTAAAAATCAGATAGATTAATAACGAGATGGTGTTGAATAGTTTATAGAAAACATTCCTATTGTAGGTGACAGGTCTGAGAAATGAAAGTTTTTTTTCTGAATTATTCAACACCATAGAGTTATTTATCATTCTTAAAAGGTTCCCCATTTCGGATCCAAAAAACAATCAATTTTGTCGTTACAGTAATACAATAGGATCTAGGTTATTCATTTATCCACATGTGGCTCAATTTAAGCAAAATTTTCAGGAATCTTCTTAATAAATTTACAGTCCTCATTTTGTTAGGTCTATCGCCGGGGAAATAAGTGTCAAACTTTCCAGCAACAATAAAACATGAGAAAAAGATTAATCGAATAATAACATGTTTGTTTTTATAAGGTTTTAGAGATTAGTGACGGTTAACTCTCTGCCTCTTTATAGTTCTCAACAATTGTCCATATAGTGTCACTGTGTAATTAAGTAGAAATTGGGTGTTTTTGTAGTCCAACAGTAAATAAAGATTTAGAAATAAGTTCAATGAAAATAATAGATGAAACATATTGGAGTTCAAAATAAAAGTCCAAAAGAAGTGTTGTAAAATGGGTCAATTTAACAACAAGGTGATGCACCAATAAAGGTCTCTCAAAATAAAAGTATCTCGATGCATATATATGTTTTATTGGTGAGACAAAAGAGCATGCATAGTAGTTCTTTAATGAAAAGTGGATTGAAATAGAAGACGGACTTTCCATTAAATATTTATTTTCTACCCCCCCCCCAAAAGTCACATATCCAATGCAGAAGTTTATTACTGATTAAATAGATATTTACACAAGTTTATTTTCTTTTCCTTATTTGTGCATTCTGATATGCATCATTATGTTATATAAAATCCTTTTTAAAAGGAGGGGGGTATACGCAAGCCTGCAAGGAGCACAAATATTGCTATGAGTATTCATGCATCCATGTAAAATGACGTGGATCTTACCACAAGTAACAATGTTGATTCTGATCTCAAAGTCCCGACTTTTATATTGATTTATTGATGCAAGTAAAGAAAACATCACGTCCATATCTTGGTGTCTAACGATTGTACTGTATTACTTGACAAACACAGGCCTGGAAATGAAACAAGAAATTCTGCAAAATTATCCATAGGCCTATATCATGGAATTATGTCACAGTTAAATACATTGAGAGAGGAGGAAAGAGGAAGTTAAAGATTATTCATCGCCCCACAGTTCATAAATTCAAACACAAAAAGAGAGATAGAAAGAGAGGGAAAGAGAGATTATTCTACGCTCCAAAGTTCATTAATGAACAAAAACAGTATATCCTGTATCTTACAGGAGGTAAATTTAGACTCTTGGTCTGCATTCATAAATAGAAAATAAGAACCAAAACAAACATCACAGAATTCTATAGAGTATATATATTTATCATTGTGGTTAAGAAATAACACCTTGAATCACTGGCTAGCCAAATCAGAGTCCTTATCTAAGAATAAACATTCGGAGAGCAGGAGGGAGGATGACGTCATTTATTTTACAAATATTAATAAAATGCGACTCGCACAACATGTAAATCATTAAATGCAGTAGTCTTTAGTTAAACGAATCTTTAATTTCCAAATATAGAGTAATTATTTTTTCTCTATTTTTAAAGGGAAAAAAATATTAAAAGAAGTAAAATATGAACTTAATATTGGAACAAGTTAACCGCGTGTTTTCAGCCTCCGATTCGCTTAGATTTGTTTCCGGTCTGATGGTTTTGTGGGGGATTTCTAATTTAGTCACGCTGCAGTTCACCACGGCCCCGTACGGCCGGTACACCCGTCCCGGATGGGGATGCCTCGTGCCTGCGAAGCTCGCCTGGTTCCTACAAGAGTTACCGTCCTTTGTTGTGCCGCCTACATTACTCTGAAGGTGGCGCTATGATGAGTTAGTGAATATTCATGGCAATGATATGATTTTGATTGGATGCTTTCTGTAACACTACTTTCACAGGTGAGATTTATTTTTTTTTTCTTTGGATTTTTTAATACTTTTTTGGGTCAGTCTGTTGTTTATGGTTTTAAAAAAAGTGCAAAATAAAAGGAAATTGAAGCTTATTTAATAGTACTGTTTTCCCGAGTTTCTTATACATGTTATATTGAAAACTTTTGTAATAATTTCATAGCAATGCACATCACTACAACAGAGATAGATCAAACAAACACCAAAGAGTTTTCAGAGTTTAAGTTTTTTTATATCATTTTATTTCTATATTTTTCCAAAAAAGAGAGCGGGACGATAAAACAAAATAGAAATCCGACGCAAGAATAAAAAAAAAAACTCGCAAACAAATTTTCCGTACAAGAAAACTTTATCCCACGGAGGGGTGTGTGTGTCGTTTTTTCATATTTTTTAACACGTGTACATGTCCCAGGGGCTTATGTTTTATAGTGTCCAAGGTTATTTTCATAACTCGGAAAACCTGAGGTTCGTGCATAATCGTCAAATTATTTGATAGAATAATTTAACCTTATTTCAGGACTTTCATTTTCCCGCTGAGGATAAGAGGAGGTAAATCCATTCCTTTGTTTCCTTTCTTGGCCGCCGTTTTCTTCTGTTCAGTAAACGGCGCTCTACAGACGTTCGGGATACTCCTACCGAATACTGAGATCCACCACTGGTTCCAGAAGGCAAGATTCTGTCTTGATATGTTTGTTTGTTTCTCTGAAGAAAATGGCGGCTATGAAAGGAAACAAAGGAACTCATATTCATGTTCTTCTGTTCAGTGAACGGCGCTCTACAGACGTACGGGATACATGTACTCCTACCGAATAATGAGATCCGCCACTGGTTCCAGAAGGCTAGATTCTGTCTTGGTATGTTTGTTTATTTTTCTGTATGTTAAAAACGTCCCTCTCGAGGAATTCTCACTCATATGCACGGAGACATCACCGCTTCATGAATTTGTCGTTGGAAAGCTGCAAATATTATCACATACTCGGCACTTAGGTTATTGAGCAGTGAGGGATCTTTTTTGTGACAACACCTACTGCGACATGGGATTTCGCTCTACAGACGTACGGGATACTCCTATCGAATACTCAGATCCACCACTGGTTTCAGAAGGCAAGATTCTGTTTTGGTCTGTTTGTTTGTTTATCTGTATGTTTAAAATGTCCCTTTCGAGAAATTCTCACTCAAATGCACGGAGACGTCACTGCTTCATGAATTTGTCGGTGGAGAGCTGCAAATGTTATCCCATACTTGGCACTTAGGTTATTGAGCAGTGAGGGATCTTTTTGTGGCAACACCTACTGCGACACGGGATCTCGGTTAATACCGTCTCTTCCGAAAAACCGGTCTCCCACAGTGAGATTCGAACCCGCGACGCACGGATCAACTCCTTACTTTGCGACTCTAGAGAAGACGCTCTAACAACAAGCTGCGCCATGCGGGTGACTGTCTTGAAATGTAAAACCAAAAGGGAAAGAATTATCCGCAACTTAGTGTTTGTTTGAGCTTATAAAGTCAAATTACACACTAGAGGGAAGCAAAGTAGTTTCTAATTTTTTAAGTTTTCATACGCAAATATCTGTACACCGAAACAGATTTGTATTATTTTGTTTCATTTCATTTTATTTTTTAGGTATTATGTTATTTTTTACGGCAATGTACATCAATATCCGATCTGACAGTTTGCTGACGTCATTACGGAAAGAAAAAGATGACACGTATCAAACAAAAATCTGGGGCAAATGCAAAGAAAATTGTATGTGATTTTTAAAATAAAACTTATCTTTGAATTATTATTGTTAGGGTTGCTAACTTAATTTTTTTTCCTCGGTGGGATTTCTATTCGAGCACGCGTCTATGTTGCTAACTTTTATTTTTATCCTTAGGATTTCTATTCGAGTACGTCTCTGTTGCTAACTTTTATTTTCATCCCTAGAATTTTTTTTCGAGTACGTCTCTCGTGCCTACTATTATTTTTATTCCTAGGATTCCTATTCGAGTACGTGTCTGGTGCTAACTTCCTGGGAGAAATAGTGGAGTGGATCGGTTTTTCTGTGGCGTGTTTTAATCTCCCCTCTTTGGCATTTGCTGTATTCACTCTGTGTTATATCGGCCCTAGGGCTGTCCATCATCACAGGTAATTTACCGAGTATATATGCACTCTATTTGAAAAAGACTATAGAAGTTTAATTTTTTATGGCATTGAGCTCACTTATAACTTTTTAATTCAGCAATAAAAGCAATGTACCAATTTCACCTTACTCATATCATTGATCACTTGGTTTATTCAATTTTATTTATTTTGCAGATTTTATCGAGAGAAATTTGAGGATTATCCAAAAGACAGAAAGGCTCTGATTCCATTTCTTCTGTAAGACGGGGTTTCAACCACAAAATGGCGGGGATCGTGCAATAAATACACTTACATTTGATTATATTTGTATATATTTCCCTGAATTTCTAAAGTTATGAAAAAATAAGGAGAAAAAAACTATACTGGTGAACTAGATGTGTCTCATTGAAAATTCTTACTTTTTAATTAGGTAAACTATATTCCGAAACACTTTTCACGGTGGATTAATGGTATTCATGGTGTTTAACGCCAAGTTGGCAGTGCATTTACATGTAACAAATTTGGTGTTATTTTTCATTTAATGCAATTCCATTAAACAAGAAACCTATAGACCACATCCTTCACCTAACCACATTATCTGGCAACAAGAGGCCCATGGGTCACACCACTCCCCTAAGCATATTGGCTAGAAAACGGCCTAGAAAACGGCACTCATCAGCTAAGTATTGAAAGTAGGACTTTAAATTTAAATTATTTGAGAATACTTCCATTACGCCAGACGATGGGCCAGATATGAAAAAGAAGACGTTGACACCTTCTCAGAATGGATTAAATGTAACAGATCCATGTTAAAATCGCGTATTAAATGATTGAGGGGCAATATGAAAACCATCTATCCTTCTTTTTTCAATAAACCAGAAGTGAAAAAAGAATAAGATAGATTACATGCACGTATTGGTCCCTGCCGACAAAGCAGATAACTGCATGTACATTGCCTTCGTTTGTAAGGCTAATGTTATATAAATTGCATTCTAGAAGAACTTGGACTTAATTTTACAAGTGGTAACCCTACTTATACTCATACTTCCCTTTCTAAGGAAGATATTTTTTCAAAATCTCCCCTTAGTTTTGAATACTTTTAATATTCCACAGAGTCAAAATGAATTTGAACTACCTTATATATATATATATTTGATTCCGAATCTTTATAAGAATCCTTACAAAGGCACATTTTGCTGGTTCCAGTATATGTTCAACCAAGCCTCTTTCTTTACTCCTCACTAATATATTGACAGTGGTGAAGGAAAACCTTCAAGAGTACTGTGCAACTATATATTCAAGAAAAGGTGTGAATCAGATGTGGGAACTAAAAAATTCTAAAGAACTTTTGGACAACTTGAAATTATAAGACTTTACAAAAATCAACAGCTTAAAAAATTACGACTTTTCAACTTTATACACAACAATTCCCCACGGCAAATTAAAATCCAGGCTTTCTGATATCATTGACAGTTGCTTCTTCAATAAAAATAGAACTCATAAATTTACTTACCTCGTCATTTGTCATTTGCAAAATTAGTTTGTTAAAACAGATTCTGATTGCACACATAAGTACTCTGAAGTTGACATCAAGAAGATGCTTGAGTTTCTGACTGACGATATATATGTGGTTTTTCCAGGTATTCCAACAATCTATTGGAATTCCCATGGGTACAAATTGCGCTTCGTTATTAGCAGACTTATTTTTATATTCATATGAATCAGAATTTATGCAAAATCTTATGCTTGAAAAGAAGAAAACACTTGCTGTGGCCTTCAAATCGACATTTGGATATATCGACGACGTATTGTTAATTAATAATGGTAATTTCCATTCCTACGTTGATACGATATATCCTGGTGAGCTTGAGATTAAAGATACCGAGTCCGAGACTTCTGCTTCATACTTGGATATTTTACTTTAAAAAGACAGCAATGGTAATCTAACAACCAAGCTATATGATAAACGTGATGACTTTAACTATTCTATCGTCAACTTCCCGTAATTATGCAGCAATATACCTTCATCACCTGCATACGGAGTATTCATATCTCAGTTGATTCGATACGCAAGAGCATGTTCTACATATGAACAATTTCTAAAACGAGGTAAATTATTGACAAGCAAGTTTATGAAACAAGAATATCAGCAGTCTCGTCTAAAGTCATCTTTTCGTAAGGTCTTCGTTGTCAGCAAATACAATTTATCATTGAGTCAAATGCTGACTGTCGTTTTTCATACAAATTGTTAGTCCATTATGTACACACTGAATTGACGACAGATTTTTTTCCGGTTATTTCCTGATCATGACAAGGAGCACATGGCGGGAGTGACCGGTCGGCAGGGGATGCTCGCTCCTCAATGGCACCTGATCCCACCTCTGATGTTTTGGGTGTCCGTGTTTCCTCTGCTCTTATTTTGTATTCTTTTATGGACTTTGATATTGAATGTTGTTCCTTATCTCCATATCCTTTGTCCATATAAAAAACAATGGCTTCAATTTTCTTAAACAATTTTTTTTCTTATATATTCCTTTGTTAAAAAAAAAATCATTCACATTGTGGCCCTCCCTATCACTGGAATCCTGATTTGAACAGATGTGAATCTTCACAATCTAGTGATGCTTCCATATCAATATAACTAATCTATGGCTTTTCCGTTCTATAGAAGAAGATTTTTCCATCTGTTTCATTAAAAAAAAACTTTGATCGCATATAATGACCTAGCCCTCTTTATAATTTGAACAAACTTGATTCTAAACTACCCGGGGGAAACTTCCATTTAAATATGACAAATCATGGCTTTGCTATTCTCCAAAAGATAATCTTTTAAAAATATTTTTCTTAGATATTCTATGTAAAATTTACCTTGTTGTTCCGCTCCACACAAAGGGGTCATAATTTGAAAAAAAAACGTGATTCTGCACTATCTGAGAATGGTTCTACATAAGTATAATTTTTCCTAGGCCGGAGGTTCTTGTGGAAAAGATTTTAAAGTTTTTTCCTATATACATGTACATGTATTCCTTGCTAAACTTTGATTTTCGTTCTACACTACCAGGATGCATCTACATTTTATTTTTCCTGGCACAGTGGGAAGATTTTAAAAAGACTTTTCCTATGTATGTTAATGTTCAAATTTGATCCCCCACTGTAGATACACCTTAACCCCGGGGTCATGATTTGACCTTGAATATTCACTACCTGACGATGCTTCCACAAGAGTTTCATCTTTTCTGGCTCAATGGCTCTTGAGAAGAAGATTTTTAAAAGATGTTATTACTTTTCACTAATTAATTATTATCTCCCCTAAGAGGAGAGTGCGGCCCTTCATTTGAAAAAAAAAAACACTACCTCAATTAACCTAAGGATACTTTGTGGAAAGTTTGATTGGAATTGGCCAAGTGGTTTCTGGGAAGATGATAATGTGAAAAGTTTACAACAACAACGACGACAGACAATGGCCAAATTTGGATCAGAAAAACTCACTTGAAAGTACAATTCAACAATGAATGGTTTATACAAAAGAGGGATAAACTTAAATTTTACCTTATTAGGATGTTTCAATATCTTGAGAAGGAACACTTCTAGTATACCGGTCCCCAAAAATATGGCGCTAAAATATGTGCCGCCGAAGGCGGTGTACAATATATAAGCGATCGCGTGAGCGATCGACAAAACTAAAAAGAAGCAAAAAATTGCAAATTTGACCCCAAATTCGTGTTCCTTGTGAAAAATTGGGTTTAAAAAACTGGTTTTTAAACACAGTTTTTTAAATGAGAATTAAAAGATTTCGTAAAATTACCTACTTGTTTAGGAAGTAAATCTCCATCTTGCGTTGTTTAGGAATGTAGTCACATGATCAATTTTTGACGTAATTTCATAAATATTCATGAGATGCGTTACTTGTGTTTTGACGTAATGAAGACTCATAGTGCAATGCTATTAAAATTGTGTGATGATTTTAGTGAGAAATACAGGGATTTAACAAACGTTAGCTAACTACTAGTCATCGATGGATTGAATTGTGCATCATTATCGATTTGAAAGGAAAAATATTCTGAATATCGAGCTGCAGTGAACGGTACGTCGCTTTTACAATAACTTGCCTAAACTCAGCGCTGAAAATCGTCAGAGTTGATTTACCAGAACTTTCATTTCTTAAACTTTCCTTTGTAAAACAAATATTTCAGGAACTAAACAAAGTGCAAGATATCGGCACGATTCGACAGGCTGATTAATGCAAGTTTTGGGTCACAAAAGGCACTCATAGTGCCTTTTGTAAGCAAAAATTACATAAATTAGCCCAAAGTCAGAAAGATTAAAGAGTGGGTTTATGAAATAACCCCAATTTCAAAAACTATAAAACCTAACCCTAATCACTCGATCGGATGCGTTATGTTGAGGTGAGTGGGAAATTGCGGTTTGTTTACATTCTGCATAGCAACGGCAAGGGAAATAACTGCTCATGCGCAATCGCGTGATTCTGGGGACCGGCATACTAGAAACTTCCCCTTGAGAAATATTTTTTATTGCAACTACTATACAACATTGATTTTTTTGGTAAAATTTTTTTCCAAGGTTCCCCTGCAGTCCAAAATAAATTCTCTTTCGTCAGTAAATTTTAAAATACATGTAGTTCTTTTGTAATATAATACGAAAGTTGCTACAAATAATGAGAAAAAAGTTCGAAAAATTAGCCAACTTTACGAAATATTATTGTTCTTGTGAAATGTTTTTGTGAAAATATCAGTTAATGCATCCTCAAAAAGTCAAGGTTTTGTGAGTTCGGTGTCTTTTACATATTACAAGATTTTCACTGTGGAACATTTATTGACTTATTTCATGAAAACAAGAAATGCTTTTAGAAAAAGAAAATTTGGGGAGGTATAAGTATTATCAAAACTCGGCCTTTTGATAATATTTACATGTAGTATAGAAGAACTGCCTTTGTAAAAATTGAGCTATTTTAAGGTAGATTTCTAATGTTTAAAATCCTTAAAATGCATGAGCTTTCGGGGGCTTCGCCCTGCTTTGAAATCAGCATATATGCTCGCCTGTTTAAGAACTTAATTAAATATACCTGCATCAAAGTTTGATTTGTGGGGCAAATGTTAGTTATTACCGAATAAAGTTATTTGGTGGGAAATTTTTACATATACGTATGGCCTTGACTACTTGACAGGTTAAGGTATTCATTCCCTAATGGGAAAAACTTCAGTGAAATTGAATACATAACTGATACGTAGGCATTGAATACTAAGTTTATTTAGACATATTTCGCACTTATTACTATTAGTATGTATAGTGGGATGTGTCTTAATTT